CCTAACATGATAAAACAAAAAATTTCTATGAATATTACTTTTTCGGAATTTTTATTTATACTATTGTATATATATATATTAAAGTCAAGAACAAAGTTACAGTGGTATTTTGAGACTGTTTCTCAGCTGGCATCAACTGGCATAACTGCACAATGAAGCTGTTCTGGATAGAGCTTTGTTGATTTCCATCTGTAAAGGATTTGGTTATAATCTTCTGATATTGACTACCATTATAGCCTTCTTGAACAGATTTAAAATAAAAGATCTACTCTTTTCCTTTGGGTAATGCAGAATGGTTCCCCAGTATTTACATAGAGTATTAAATGACTAACACCAGAGAGAGAGAGAATAGTTCTGGCCTCACTGATTTTCTTACAATATCCAATATATGTGTTAATAGTGAAAATGAGTAGGAATAACTGATTAAAATGTGATGCATTCCTCTTTGCATAACTTTGTTGCAGAAATAAATAAATAAATAAAATATAATTTTATCTGTCCACTACTTCATGGCTCAGAAAATCTGGTGCTTTATATTCTTGTTTTAACTGTTACTTTTGTATCACCCTGTGGATATATTTATTTATTTATTATAAATCCTCTCTTTGCTTTTAGTCTTTATTTCTTTTTCTTTTTATTTACCAGTAGGGAGACTTAGATAGGCTCAGTTTTCTTAATCCTCTTTATAAATTTAAAAAACCCAATTAAGTCTGCACAAAGTCTTGTTTGTTTTATTGTCCTACTCTATTTTTTCTTTTTTCTTTTCTTTTTTTCTTTTCTTTTTTCTCTTTCTTTTTTTCTTCTTCCTCTTGTCTTTGCTTTTCCTCTTTTTTTTTTTTTTTTTATATAATTAAAAATATATAATAAATAAGAGGTTATAGTATATAATTAATAATTTTAGGATTTAGGATGTGAGATTTAGAATTTAAAATTTAAAATTTTTATGTTGTAGTTATAGATTTAGATTTAATAGACATTTCTGCGTTAAAATTTAAAAAAAAATTTTAAAACGAATTTTTTTTTCAAAAATCATATTGTTTTAAACTATTTGTTAATTCCCAATTTATATTTCCATATTTTTTGTTTTTAACTTATATTATCCTTACTGAAAAAAAAGAGAAATGTTTTAAAATTCATTAAAAAAAATATAAGAAATAATTTCTCATTAATTTTTTTTTGTATTTTTAAAGATACCAAAAATGGATCTTAATCTTAGTGATGCTATTAGTAATGGTCCTAATGAGAGACTAAATGAGGAAGATTCAACTGCAGATTTTGCTCATAGGACAATTAAAGATGCAAATGTTTCAATACCAGAAAATCCATTATATAATGATTTGAATTTACCTGATGCCATTCAAAATCCATCTAAAGATATCAATTTGGATTCAGCTACATCAAAAAAACTTCTTCATAAAAAGTCGTTAAGTATTTTTCAGTTAGTTATCATTATTATTTCTTTCCTTCGTTTTAAGGTAAAATAAAGTTTATAATTATAAACTTTATATATATTATAAAAACAAAATTTTAAATCATTTGTAATAATTTATAGAGAGCTCACTCTACTAAATGGAAAGCTAAACGTGAGAGAGATAGGTTGCAGAAGATATGGGATAATAGCAGTAAAGAGTTGAAAGGTAATTTGGAAAAGGAAATGCTAGACGTAAAAAACAAAATGGAAGATTGTGAAAAGAAACTGCTAAAAAAAAAAAAAGAAATGGAACTGTGGGAAAAGGGAGTTCTAAGAGAAAAGGAAGTGTGGGAAAGGAGAACGCGAAAAGAAAAGCAAGAGTGTGGTGAGAGTATGCTAAAACAATTGGAAGATTGGGAAAAGCGAGTTCTACAAAAAGGCGAAGATTGGGAAAAAAGAAAGCTAATAGAAAAGGAAAAGTTGGAAAAGGAAATACTAAAAAATAAGGAAGAGGGGGAAGAGAAAATGCTAAAAATAATGAAAAAGTTGGAAAAGAAAATTCTAAAAGAAAAGGAGAGTGGGTGGTTAATAAAAGGCTTCATTAAGCTTTTTGGTAATAAAAAGAACTAGCTATATGAAGAATACGTAGTTGGTTATGCTAACGCAAAAAAAAAAAGAAAAAAATTAATGAAATTTATTTTTGAGATATTTTTCTTTTGAAAAATGAAGATACTTAAAAAAAAAAAAAAGAAAAAGATATTTATTTTTTTTTATGAAATGAATGAAATGATTGAATTGGAAAATAAATAAAGAAAAATTTTTAAAATTAAAATCGAAAGTAAGATTTAGCAGCAATAAAAATAAGGTATTAAGAAGATAATAATGTTTTCATAAAATAGTTTAATAGGCATAATATTTATATTTTTAATTTGTGAAAGAAAATTTTATACATATGACAATAAAATTTTCACGTAATTAATATTCATAATATTAATTTACGTTTTTACTAATTGTTTATGTTTATTAATTCATCAGCAATATATTTAAATTACTGAAAATAACTTATAACAAAGAAATAAATAAATTATAATTAAATAATAATCAATATTCAATAAGTATTTAAATTTTTAATAAAAATAAGGATTTTTATTAAAATAAATAAATGCCTATTGAAATTAAAGAATGCTAAATTAAGTAAATTACATAATTAAGGATCACTCGTTCAAAGCATTTAAAAATATAAATAAATACATTAAAACTGTAGAAGTAACTCTACATGTTCTTTTTTAATTTATTTGATCAGTACTCTAGTAAAATCACCGAACACCCATTTAATAAAACAGTACTCTAGCAAAGTCAACAAACACCCAGTTAATAAATCAAGCACTAACATAACTACCTATTTTCCATATAAATAATTATTTTTATCCTCAACAAGGTTAATAAATTCTTTTGTTAATATAATATCTAATAAATCGTGTACTTTTCTTCAATTTATTTTAATTATTTGTTTGGAATTTACACAGTCCTATACCATTTTCATTGTTTTGTAACTTATAAACAGTTGATTTAACTTTTCTAATTTTATAAATATTTTATTCTTGCTTTATTATTTCGTATAATTCTTCATTTTTACCTATACTGTTAATTCTATTTCTTACTTTTTCAAGTTCTTCATTTTTTTTTTTTCTAGACAATTTATTTCCTTTAGTAAAAATCACTATATTTATATTAAAAACATAAATCTTCATTAATTATTAGTTTTAAAGTACAAAACATTTAATTACTATTTCTAAAGATTAGTGTTTAAAAAATCAAGTGAATTCTTTAAAATAATAAAAATACATACTTAAATTATTACTAGAAACAATGAAAATTTAATTTTCAAAAATAGAAAGTTTTCTTTTATTAAAATATTAAAAAAAAATTTTGAGAATTTTTTCTATAAAATTCACACCTATTCAAATTCAAAAAAATAATTAATAATTTATGTTAAGAAAAAAATATATATAAAATACATCAACTATTTTTAATTTTTCATTTTTTTTAATTAGCTTTTGCGTATGTATAAATGTTTATTTTCCATGAAGAAATTTAATGATCAAAAAAGTTAATAAAGCTTTTATTAATCATACATATAATATCTATTGCTATAAATGTTATATTTACACTAGTACTATTATTGCATATATATTATTATAATATGAATAAAATATATATTATTTATTTTTATAGAAATAACTATGATAATACGTATATATAAATGATTATTTATTTATTATTTAACCTTTGTGAATTAGTATATAATTGACTGCATTATCTATTAATTTATTAATGGTACAATTACCAAACAATAGTTATATATAATATTTTTTACTTTATGAACATTACCTTACCTATAATAATTACAATAATTTCTACATTTAATGGATTATTATTTGGATAATTTTAATTTTTAAATATACAATACATATATTATTTAAAAGATTTTAATACAATGAAGCAATATGTATAAATGTAAGATAATATTATATTTTACGTATTTTTAGTTGGGAAAACAGAATTTATTTATTATAATAAAAAAATAGAAATAATGAAAACGCACTTTTATTAAATATTTGACTATTTTTTAATGTAAAATAAGTGTTAAAAANTAAAATATTACTTGAGCAATGATTATTTCATTTTATTTTTTAATATTATTGTATAATTTTGCATTAGCTTATGTAAATGATTAATAATTTATTATAATTATTCTTATAAAAAAAAAAAAAAAAAAAAAAAAAAAAAATATATATATATATATAATATATATATTTGTGAAAAATTTAATTAAAATTTGAAGTTATAAAAAAAAAAAAAATGTTAAAAATTAAAATAAGAAATATATAAACAAGATATATTTTGTCAAATGAATTTAGAATAAATATATTGCTTTATATTGTTTACAATACGCATGAATCATTATAAAATAAAAAAAATATAATATGTATATACTTATAAATATATAACATATACATTTAACTTAAAGTTCAAATAGAAGCATAATTTGTTAATATATTTAAATGGTAAAAAAAAAAAAAAAAAAAGTTGAATATTTTTGTAAATTCATAACATTTATCCATAATCAAATAATTCATGTTATTTTTTTTCTAAGAAAAAAAAAATATTTTTTCACACAATTTTTTTTTTTTAGTAGCCCAATCCACTTTCAAATTTATAATCTATTATCTAGAATTATGTATTATTTACAAAAAAAAAAAAAAAAAAAAAAAAAAAAAAAAAAAAAAAATTTATTAGTATATAATTGACTGCATTATCTATTAATTTATTAATGGTACAATTACCAAACAATAGTTATATATAATATTTTTTACTTTATGAACATTACCTTACCTATAATAATTACAATAATTTCTACATTTAATGGATTATTATTTGGATAATTTTAATTTTTAAATATACAATACATATATTATTTAAAAGATTTTAATACAATGAAGCAATATGTATAAATGTAAGATAATATTATATTTTACGTATTTTTAGTTGGGAAAACAGAATTTATTTATTATAATAAAAAAATAGAAATAATGAAAACGCACTTTTATTAAATATTTGACTATTTTTTAATGTAAAATAAGTGTTAAAAAATTAAAAAGGTAGTATTTATGCATATACTTTTTTATTTATGTTATATCAAAGATTCATACAAATTAAATTAAAAAAAAAAAATTCTTCATAAAATTCTTTATTAATGCTTACAAAGATGTCTTATAGCACTTAAATATTTTAGAAGAAAGTAAAATTTGAAAGGGACAATTGCTGAACTCTTTTTTATTATATTAAATATTTGTTAATTGTTCATTCAGTGATCATGCTAATATGAAAAAAATAAATTAATAAAAAGCATGTAGAAAAAGCTCTATTTATTTTATCATTATCAGATTATTCACTTTTATTATTTATATCAAATATTAAATACATGAATTAATTACTATTGTTGTTAGTTTACATTATATCTCATGTATGTCACATTTGATATTATATTCTTAATTTTTTATACAAAAAAAATAAAATAATAAAATATATAAATATTTTTTTCATATCTTGTTCCTTTTTAGAGCAAGTATTTTTTTATTTAGATTACTTTTAGAGCAATTGTTTTTATTAAACGTATTTACTTTTAGTGATAATATTTTTTTTTTAAGATACATACTTTCTTTAAGCTTTTATGTATTCCTATTTTCCTTGCAGTATGACATATACAATTAAAAATGTTCTTTTTATATTTATCTGAATATTATTTAAAATAGGTCGATAATATTATTTATAATCCAATAATTGAGTTAATTAGATTTTTTGAGAAAGATAAATAAAAATAAAAGAATAGCAATAAAAATGTTTAAAACTAAAATATAACAAAATAAAAAATGAAATAAATACATTCTCAATAATATTAAGTTATCGATTATGTATAAAAATGCTAAAAAAAAAGGCACATAACTTTTTTTTTTACATTTAAATATAAGGTAATGATAATGCACATGCAAAAGGACATGTTATAATTCTGTTTTATAATTATTTATTGATACATTTCGTATCATATTGAAAATATATATCCTTGTATTTTCTTGGAAGAAATTCATTATATTTAATTAAAGATATATCTTTTTAGTTAATATAATAATTAACATTTTTATTAAATTTAATGTTTGTATTTATGATTATTAATTACAAAAAAAAATAATTTATAAAAATATATTTATACAATATGTTTCATATAAAAAAGAATTTTCTTCACAGTTTTTAGAATAATTACAAAAGTAAATTTGTCAAAAAATAAATAAACTTTTTTTTGAAACATGCTTTTTACTATATACATATGATTAAAAAAATAGTTTTTTTTTTTTTTTTTTAAATCGTAATTAATTTAGAGTGCTTTTTTACATGATATTTTATTATAATTTCCTCAAAATAGATATGTTTTCACTTTTTCTTTTGAATTTGTGTATTTCATAATTTTTTTTTATTTTGTGAGAAGTAAATGAAAAAGGAAATTTTTTAAAAAAATAATTATGTATATATATATTATATAAACATATATTAATAACAAAAAGAAAAAGAAAACATAAAGATAAAAAAATATAATAGAAAAATCAAAATAGTTACATTTAAAGCAAAAACATGCACAAATAAAAATTAGTTTCATATATAATTAAAAATAACTATAAATATAGTATACAGTATGAAAAATACATGCAGAGAAAAACTTTTAATTTATAGTGTTTTTTTTTTTCTTTTTTTATTTGATAGAGATATGATATCTCTAATATATCTAAAATTATATATATAAATAACGAATACCATATATAAAATAATTTAAAGTTTAAACTGATTCACAGAAAAAAAACTAATAGTTAAACAAAAAAAAAAATAAAGAGAAATTCATTGACATTAAATATATAGCATTTATAGTTTTAATTTATTTCAAATTAACATTATATAATTTTCTTATCTACTTTAAGGATGAATTTAATTTTAATGAAATATTTTTAAAATAACTTTACATATTTTAAAATTTTTTTCTTTATCTTATATACCTTATTATTTATTTTATTTCTTGAAAA